ATAACAGCAAATGAACAACAATAGAATGAAGCTCAAACAGTTATAATCTTGAGTTGAAGAAAGTTAACTACAGACACAATTTTGATGATCCTGAGCCTTTTTATTCTTGTCTGTGGTGAGTGTGGTGAAGAATTGATGATGATCCCACCATAACTTACTTGGAGATGCTGCTGTCCCTCTTTTTATGCATCGGTGACTGCTCATGACAATGAAGAAGACTTGTGATTATTTTAAAACTTTGAATTTACTATAATTTTAGTTTTAATAATAATTTTAATACATGTGATGTGCTGTAAATCATGTTCATAGTTGGTAAGCAAATTATAAATAAACACTTAGAACTAATTATCAGCTACTTCACACATTGCCACAAATCTGCACTTCTAATAACAAAAAAGTCAGTGTGGCCCTAGTATTTTGCTGTTTTACTAGCTGTATGAAAACTAAAGCCTTCCTAGTTAATTGAACTAAGTAAATGCATATTTACTTGTCTAAACTAACTATAAGTGCTAATAGTACCGTAAATCATCAAATGAAAGCCTGGGCATCTATTTCTTACAATGGCATTAGGACCTCTGAAGAAAGAAAATAATGCTTCAGTCCACAGTGGGATTTGAATCCAGGACCTCATGTAAGCAATTCCAGGATGCTTAACCAAATATCTACAAGGCATCTATGATATTTGTAGGCTACATTTGCATATTTATACTCCCATTTTATTGCTAAGCCTGCGTTTATTTGTGCCCGGCTTTTATTTGAGGATTTACAGTAACTGAAATTATGCATGATTTTCCAAAACTAAAATGGCTTAAAACTTGATTGTTTTGTTCTGTAAGTTGAAAGATATTGTTAGAAAACTATCTTGGCGTCCATTTATGGGTTGTTTTAACAAATTGTTTTTGTAGCATATGGTAGGTATACTATCTGCATGCTACATATAATTGTCATAAGTCATGCAACAACTTGTATCCAACCTTGAATTTAAAGGGTAATACAAAAAAATTCTATTGCTGCAATCAATAGAGAAAATAATGGGAAAAAATAATGTACACTGTTAAGAAATACTATTTCCATTAAAAATCTTGGCTTAAATGTTGCAATTTGCTTTCTGTCAGCCATTTTTTTAAACTACTTCCAGTAGTTGCTGTGGTCACGTGATGATGTACATAGGGAACCATGTCCTCTAAAGAGCCTGAGTCTATGAACCTGTTGGTGCAAAGTATATTCATAGAGTGTTAAGTATATTCATCATGATACTGATACAGTAAATAAAGTAAAATTTTCCTGCCTCCTAGTTCTGAGGAGCAATCGCGATAAGAGCTTATTCACCAAAAACTGCTGTATTGATTTGTGAAAGCAATCTTGCTACTGTTTACTGACCATCATTCAGTGTCTGCAATGGGCTAATGGACTTTAATAAGTGCCATTAGAAGATATAGAAGCAAATATATTGCTTTCTCTCCTTCTACTCTTAGTGAACTATGACTTCAAAATTACGGTATCACAATGGATATACTCAAAATTCTATTAGTATACTTAGTACCAACTAGTCTTTATTCAGATACTAAATCTGCTGACCATTTGTGCCTCACGAGAGTGATGATGGTCTAACCATGTAGTAATGATCGTAGTGCTAACAGTGAAAATTTAAGTTGCAGGTTCACCAGAGCCCACTAGGCTAGGAAATACAAAGTTTTCAGTGCAAGAAGCTCCTTCTCA